TAAATAAATTTAACGCACTTTCGGTACCTTTTCATTTATTTTCAAAAATATTTCGCAAGCAGTCTTTTGTCAATTTTAATCCTAAGCCACCAACCTAGAAGGATAATCATGTGGACGCACAATAAATAATGTAACACTCAAGAAATCAAAGCAATAAATAAATTGTTAAGAATAGGGAAAGACTATAAATGCCCCAAGCAAGCAAAAGCCTTATTAATTCCAATAACTGTTCTGCAAGATGTCAATTAAAAATGCATGCATGGACGAATAGCATTCAGAAATTATGTTTGGGTTTTTCTTGTTTATAAAAACTAAACTATATGCAATTTTTATCTAAGTTCAAGATGCATGAATTATTAAACTAATGACATATGACATGACCTAATTTTAATGACGAGCAAAAATTACGAATTAATCTAACATGACATGCAATCTAATTTGTATTAGCCTAAACATGCAATAACCAAATGACACGAAAATATGACATGAAAATAATGACATGGTGAGTGATGACATGTCATTGATAACATAGTGATGACATTGAATTTATGCAACTAATCCGATATGATATATGCATATTATTTTTCATTATTTGCTTTTAAAGTTAAAATATGAAACTACCTAAATGTGTAATAACCTAATTCAAACAAGAAAATATTTATATTAAACCCTATTCTAAATTTGGAATGTCCTAAATTAATACATTGCTACTAAACATACAATTCTAAACGGGAAGCTAATCTATCCTTACATGCAAAGAAGTTTTTTTTTTTTTTGTATTTTTCATAATAGGAAAGTTTCTTAAAATAAACATGCAATTTAATAAACCCATTTAATCAATATATTTACCACAACCCAAACACAAGAAATCAATATAATAAAAAATCCAATCTAACGTCTTGCAACTCAAATTCTTGATTATTAATATATTTAATCAATATATTTTCAACGAAGGAACTTTCTTAACCGGTAAATGCCTAAAACTCGAACAATAAATCACTTAGGATCAAATAATCCGAATGAGGCAACACAATATTTGAATTGAATTCGGTTTAATTTAAAAAAAAAGGCACAAAAAACATCAAACTATACCAATGGTGATTATTTTTTTTTGTGATATCAAAACCCTCGAACTATGTTGACACATTTATCTTAAACTTTTTATTGTGATATAAAAAAAACCAAACTCGTACCTATGTGACACATTTATCCTTCAATTTTTGTTTCACTTAAGCCACGTTGGCGCCATGTCAATAATGTTTGCTTTTTAGCGTTCATGTAGACAAATTTTTAATATTCTCCTTAACATATGGTAAATGTGTAGACTTTGGTGTCACAAAAAAAATTCTAGGGTAAATATGTCACAGTGAGCATAATTTAGGATTTTTAGTGGCATTTGCCCTTTATTTTATTACCTAATGCCCACAAACTGGCGACGAGGAAGTGCGGTAGTGACCGACAAGGATGATTCTGGCAAGTGTAACCGTGATGCAAGTGGTTGAGGGAGCGACAAAGAAGCAATGACGTTAATGAACCTTGAGCAAGAGCGTGACTAGACCAGCAGGAATTTCAACAACAACGGTGGATTTTAGACCGCCGGGCAACACTAGGAAGTCACTGAACTGCTGTGGTGGATTACAACGCCAGCCGCACAGGCCGTGTCATTTAGTAACTGTTTGAAAAGCAAAGCCAGCCACATCGGTCCCTTGCTATGACAACGCCAGTCGTATCGGCCGCGTTCGTCTAGTTACTATTTTAGTAAGCAAAGCTCGTGGTATAGGCCACTTGCTGTTTTACCGCTACTCATATCGGAGAACTGACACGACAGTAAGACTTGCCGCCCTCAGACAAGCCAGATCCTAAAATCTAAGTCTAGGCGTCTTTTGAATTTTTATTTTTGTCCAAACTCAAGCTAATTTAGTTATCTTGAATTTATTAGCTTGAGTTTGAGGGAGGATGCTAAAGAAAATTAGGATATTTTCCTATATTATAGATAATTAGAATATTTCTGTTTGTTTTTTGAATATTTCAAAATTATGCGATATCTCCTTCGATTGTGCATATATTGATTGATATGTGTTACCTTTAATAGTCTCTCAAAAAGCCTATAAATAAGCTGATATATTCCTCATTATAATATATTGAATATACATAAATTCCTCAATTCCATCTTTTCGATTTTTAGTTTGCAAGAGGAAGACAAAACCGTGCGGGTCAATACCCGGAGGAGAAAACCTTGGTTTTGCCCAGCGGAAAAGGAGAGTCTCTCTTGAGAGTGTGTCATAACGGGGGTCCTCTCTTTTACTTTTTCTCTGAAGCATGTGAAGACACTCTTTGTTTCTTCTTTTTGTGGCCGTCCCCCTTGTGAAAGGCGTGGATTCTCTCGTTTTTGTATCGTGGCCCTCCTCTCTCTCCATCTCACCAACCTTTTTTGTATTGTCTTGATGAGGTTTTAGGGCTTTTCAAGATATCAATTAGTTTATCACTTTCCTATTCTAAACCAAAAAATATATCCTCACTTCTTATTTTAATTCCATTAAAACATTGAAAAATAATATCTTTCATTCCGCCCCAAATTCGATCAAATAAAGTACTCGCTTAGCACGCTGCATACATAATATATGCAAAATTTCGGCCATATTAAATATTCAATGGGCTTGACCAAATTTTCATAATATTGGGCTTAGTCTAATTAAGCTCAGAACCAATTCTTTAAGTCCATCCGCCACCGGTCCAATGCACATTATGAATTTAACAAATATGCATATGCAATTATTGATTTTTTTTTGTTAGGGATCGGGGTTTCTTTCTATGCATGGAATAACTAAACAGGTAATTAAAATTTAGCTGTCGACAACAGCTTAATCATAATATGCGTAACTAGAAGCCAAACTAGTCTTATGTAATGGAGAGCTCATTGGATCCTCCTAAGATGCCACAGCTTTTGTTTTAGAGTTTGAAGAGATGGAGAGAAGCCAGCCTGGCTGAGAGGTCCATGCATGAACCACACATGTCTATGCCCCCTCGTACAACGAGTTCGGCAATCGACAGGACAGGTGCCTGCTTTAGTCAATGGATAACAGTCTCCTATCCTTTGCCAATATTGGCAACTGTTGCCAAACATTAGCTAGGTTTTCTCACCATTGCAGCCCCCGGGTTAAAGGATTAATAACTTCACCCGAAACTAGGTCAATAAGAAGGCAATGGTCATTACCATGTTCACCAGAATTAGAACGGGAAATTGCTCCGATCCAACAAGATTACTCAAACGTTGTAAGAGGCCAAAGAGCCTAAAGGAGGTGGGGGGCGGCGGATGTGTGGCCATAAGTCGTGTAAGATTTTGTAAAATTACTATCAAATGTTCTAAAAGTTAAAGCTGTTAGATGAAAGTGTGTTTTTTAAATATTCGATCACTCTCCCGCATGCTTAGTTTTGTTTTTTCTCCTAGTACTAAGCATGAATATATTTAATTAGAGAGGTAAATAGGGGCCTAGAAAGATTCGAACTCAAGACCACCTGTTTTGAGGGGGAATGATAGAATATTTTAGTATTAAATCACGTTTTCATCTAACAGCTTAAACTTTTACGAGAGATGATAATGGTTTCACAAAATCTCATAAGTTGATGGCTGCGGAAACAGAGTGGGTGGAGAGAGAAAGAAGAGAGACAAAGGACAAGGGATGGGATAGATCAGTGTAAAAAAATAATTTATACACTCACTGTTAATTTACATGTGGAAGATTCGGGTACAAATCTATTTTCGAACATGCGGCGAGGAGATAGAGTATTTAAGACAAGTAGTTGAGAACATGAGGTGAGAGAGACGTCTATAACTATTAGCACTTGCCATCACAAAGTCCTGGGGCAACTGCACAGCACTTGCAGACTTCCTGATCGCAACAGCCATAAAAAAGTCCTAGCTGTCCTACATGGTACGGTTGGCAATAATGTTGATAATTTTGTAATTTTTTTATTTTAGTTTCTTTTTTTTTTATCCCTCTGTTGGGCCTCGTCAATGGTCGGCAACCTCCACCAGCCTCAAGCCAAGGCCGCCCTAGCTAGCCTCGAGAGAGGGACTCTCGGACCTAGGTTGGCGAGGGTCACCCTCCCCTGGGTAGGCGAGGGCGAGGGCAATCCTAGCCAAAGGTCGGTGAGGGTTGCCCTTGCCGATCCAACGAGGGCAGCCCAACACTGGCCAGCGGAGGGAGAAAGGGAAAAAGACAAGAAAATAAATCATAAAATTTAAACAAAATTGCAAAAATTGTTCGCATCAGCATCGGTCATGCAATATAGAATGACTTGCGCTGACTAGGCCTCCACGTCAGTGATTTCCGCCAAAATTGGTCAAAAGGATTAAATTGACAAATTATCAAAAGATTTAAGACTAAATTGGTACAATTTCAAAGTTTATGATTAAATTGGCAAGTATCAAAATGTTTAGGACTAACTTAGTAAGTTGTCAAAAGATTTAGCACAATCAAAAAGAAAACAAAGAAAAGAATAAATAAATCAAAAAAAAATATTTAAAAATTTTCACGTCAACGTCCGAACGAACGATCAGCATTCATGTCAATGCTGGCCAGCCAAAATTAGCCGGATGGAATGAAGTGATACAAATGCAAAATATTTAGAACTGAATTGATCAAAAAGAAATATTTATAACTGAATTGGCACAATTACAATAGGTTTAAAATTTTTTTAATAATTTTTCCTCCTAACATGGTTAGTAACCATGTCCACCAGACTTAAAACGGGATTGCTCCGATCCAACGAGATTACTCAAACGCTTTAAGAGGTCCAAAAAGAAGAGAGAGAAAGGGGAGGGGATGGGTATAGATCATTGCAAGAAAATAATTTACACACTTACTATTAATTTTACACGTGGAAGATTTGATTACATAAGTGTCTTCGGACGCGCGGTGAGAAGAGAGAGAGTTATTAAGACACGTAGTTGTGGAGAAGAGTGAGTGAGAAACACATCTATAAAAGTAGATGTTAGCACTTGCCATCACGAAGTCCCTGTGCAGCTACACACCATACCAAGCAATGGTACTTGCGGACTTCTTGATCGCGACGGCCACCATACTAGGCTTCATCTCACTCGTCAAGAACCTGCTCGCCTTCGGCCGATGGTTGCACGCCGCGTTCCTGAGGAAGCCGAAGGACTTGCGCGACTACGGCTCATGGGCCGTCGTCACCGGTGCCACCGACGGCATCGGGAAAGCCCTGGTCTTCAAGCTCGCCTCCAAGGGCCTCAACCTCGTACTCGTTGGTCGGAACCCCGGCAAACTCGAAGCCACCTCGAGTGAGCTGAGGGAGAGATACGGCACAACCATCGAGGTCCATCGTATAGGAAGTATTTCAAGCTTCAGTTGCATGCTCTGATGGACGATATAGCTTATGCATGACATGCTTTGTCCAGGTCAAGACCGTGATCGCCGACTTTGCGAAGCTGAGCGGAGATGAGATAGCGGGGACGATGACGGGAGCGACGGAAGGGCTCGACGTCGGGTTGCTCGTTAACAACGCGGGGATGGCTTATCCGTACGCGAGGTACTTTCACGAGGTGGATCGAGAGTTGATGGAGAGCATGCTGAGAGTGAACTTGAACGCAGCGGTGTGGGTGACGAAGGGAGTGATCGATGGAATGTTGAAGAAGAAGAGAGGAGCGATCTTGAATATAGGATCTGGTTCGAGTGTGTATGTTTCTTCGTATCCACTTCAGACCTTGTATGCATCAACCAAAGCGTAAGTTTCATCTGTTTTAGGTTAGTGTACAAATATTGCAGAAATTACGTAAAACCTTTTCTTAGTTGACTCGACATCAAATTTCATGTGTATACTATTTATCGATGAAATTCAATAGCCGCTTTCATTTCAAATTTTTATAAAAGTTTTCGTGAAAAACTCATTTATATATTTGAAATACATTACGACTGCAAGCAATACGTGGACAAAATCGTAAAATTTCATAATCAAGATAATTGATAAGCAATCAAATGAATATCTTACAGTCTAAATTTAAATTCAAAATAAATATAAAGAATTAAATTAATTAATTTCCTCTTTCGCTAACCAAATTATTTACAAAATAGCGGATCAAAATTTTCTTATTTTATTTTATTTTTTGTTAATTTTATTTTTTTCTTATTATTTCTCTTTACGAGTAACGTGTGTGCTCTTTATATATGCTGAGTAAGAATTGTATTTCATTTGTTGATCGCAGTTTTATGGCAACGTTCTCGAGGAGCATCGCTCTTGAGTACAAGGAGCGTGGGGTTGATATTCAATGTCAGGTAATTGTGTGTTATCTATTATTTTATATAGAGGTAATAATACGAAAAATCTCAAATCGATACACCTATGACAAATCACATTCTGTTAGTTTTCATTAAAATTTACTGTCAAATTGTTAAATTAAATGATACGTGGCAGTTGACGGGTGTATCAGTTTGGGGTTTTACCCTCCGTTTGTCACAAGTGTATCAGTTTGTGGTTTTTCGTTGTATTAATCTAATTTAACGGAAATTAACGAAGGGTAAATTTATCACAAATGTATCATTTTTGGGTTTTTTGTTGTAAAAAATTTAGTTTGGGGTAAATTTATCGTTACTAGTTTAGGATTTTTTGTGATCAAAAAATAAATTTTGAGTAAATTTGTCATAAATATACCAGTTTAGGATTTTTCATAGTGTTAACCCTTTTATATTTTAGTTCATGTTGAACCTTCCAGTACATGAATGTAAACAAAATGACCAACCTTGCTATAGTCCACTTATCTATCAAATTGAAGTTCATGAACTTATGCCAATCGGCCGTGGTCCAAGACTTGATTTACGAGTCAAAAGGCCAATTTATATTCTCTGGTATAGTCGCACTCTCATGAAATCGTGGTTAGTCTGTGAAGAAGGGGCCTAGGGTTAGGTGCATAACTGATATTGGGCTTTCCAAGTCGCATTTGGTGAGGGTGCGATAACGCGCTTGCTCGATGAATAGTTGGTGCTTCCTAGGTACCTTAAATCGAACTCTTTAGCAACTAAAGAGGTTATTCCAAATCCCGTCCAATTCCTTTTTAGCTAAAAAAAAGAGTAACAATTTTCTGTTTGAATCATTCATCAAAATTAATTTGGCTTGCGTTTTATCCGGTCTAATAGGATATTGAGGCATTTCATGAGCCTTATATTCACTACCTAACTAGCGAGCTTCCTCTTCTTTTGAGAAAAGACAATTAAAGACCGTAAGATTTTACATGGATCCCATCAAAATTCATGTACTTGACCAATGACCAGCCACAATCGAATAGTTCTCGAAAGCTATTTTCTGGGCATTTTTAATAATATCAAGCAAATCATGTTATCTAGGTGATAAGGCTTGAAGAAGGGTCAGGATAGCTCAGCTGGTACAATCCAACACAAGATTAAAAATCCTCATGTCACCCGTTCATATCTGATTCTTGGCATATTAAGAATTAGTATGCACCCGAATTAATTGATATCTGCAGCCTAATTGATGTGAATGACATTACGTATTCATTAAAGTTGCCCAACCTAGTCGTCCCATATTTCCTCCTCTCTCTCTCTCTCTCTCTCTCTCTCTCTCTCTCTCTCTCTTTCGTGTTCGTGTTCGTTTTTTTTTTTTTGATCAGAAGAACCATATTCATACAATTCTCACGACTTAGCTTGCGAGTACAACGGCAAAGCATCGACACAAAGTAAACTCCAAAGATCGGGAGGAGGGTAGAGTTTCCAATTCTGTGGCAGAACATTTTTCTTTGAGCCTTCGCTATCCAGTCTGCCACTCTATTGGACTCTCTATTACAAAATGCCAACTTAATATCAGTAAAATTTTCCAACAGATCTTTGGCTTTCAAAATAAGCACATGTGTATCCCTCTCTCGTGTTCGTTCACTTGCAACTTCTAATGTGCTACGGTCATCACCTTCGTCGTACATCAATCTGTCTTTTCGGCATCAAGTCTTCAACCTACACCGGCCACATGTTGAGTCCGCGGTTGGTAACTTTCGGAAGCAAATGTTTTTTTATTAATCAATTTTTCTTTTTCCCTTTTCTGTCTCCTCAGTCTTCCACCGCCCAAGGTTCTTCCATCCCTCGTTTGTTCTTTTCGTAATTCTCATCCTAATAAATTCACAGTAGCGATGATAGCAACAGCAGCAATCATTCCCATGCGCAACTTAGCCTAGCTAATTACACCAACATTTTGTTCGACAGTAACATATAGAATATATCTAAGTCGAATTAGATAGAAAGACATGGTTTCTGCATGTTATATCCCAAGCATTCATTTGAAAGGGTGAAACTTAGAGGAAATTAACATTATTAAACCCCCGTGATTCTCTCATTAGGGGGCGGGCTACCTTACATAGCTATGTATAGCGAAGGTGCTTGCAAGTTACATTAATGCTACGAAGCAGCATTAGATTATCTGTGTATAAAGTCTGGGTAAGAATAATTCTTACTCACGTGTCAAAAGATTCACTTTACACGTTGAATTAAGTTTACATACAAGTCATATGCAATGCAAAGAAGCTAAAAACCGATGTATTCTTGAATTCTCCTTATAGGTTCCCCTATTCATTGCTACAAAGATGACCATGTTGAGGAGGCGCCCGATGCTCGTACCGTCTTCCGAGATGTTCAGCGGAGCAAGCGTGCAGATGGATTGGTTACGAGCGCCATGTAACCCCTATTGGTCACACGCAAATTTTTTTTTAGTAAGGGTTTGTGTTGCATGCCCTAGACGCGATCACCATTTGGTACTTCAAACACTACATGAAATGGATGAGAAAGGAGGGGCTTGAGCAAGATCGCCATCTTTAGGTCAAATATGGCGGTGCACCGCAAGAATTCTCGAACGGTACCGCATTTGATGTTGTGTGCCTAGTGTGCATGCTTTAGTTATAAGAGTTCATGGTGATAGATATAATGTAAAATTTTTATTGTGACTCTTTTGGAGTTGACATGTTAGGTTATAAAAACTCTTGGTTTTGTGTGCTCGATTGGATTTCCATCGATAAGTCCACTTACATTTTTGTCCTCCCTTATTTGCATTTCACTTATAAGAAAACCAGACTCCAAAAAAATGAAAAAAAAAATATGTGTATCTAAAAGTTGGTATAAACATTTATTTTCAAGGTCTCAAGCATTCAACATTAAGAAAAAAAGTCAAAATGCGTGTGTAACGCAAAATTTTAAGAAAGTGTAAAGCACCAAGAAAAGAATATCACTCAAAACATACATTCACATTCAAACAGACAATGTAAGGAGAACTCATGGGGCTTCCTAGTTTAATATAAGTGGAAAAATACAAAAAACGGTACATTACATTTTACACTTCTTACATTTACCTCATCCATATCTAAGTATTAAAAGTCAGAAATTAGAAGAAAGCTTCAGCAGACTTCATCGCGGTGCTTCATCGTCTCGCGGCTCAACGATGAGAGGCAACAGCAGCACCGGTGAGGTTTGCGGCCAAGGGGGGCCGCTCAGTCAGCTCTCGGCAGAGGGTGGCTCAGCCATAGGGTGTCCTGGCCAAGGAACTGCCTCTCTCTCTTTTCTCGTCTTCTCTCTCTATGAGTTTTTTAATGTGTTCTTTCTAAAGTTGCCGACCTTTAAAATTGAAGACCTAAACATGTTTCTATTGTGGTAACCTAGGTCTAATCTCAATTTTACGAGCTTAATTTCAGCCTTTGTTAAATAATGGACTCTAATAACCTAAGGCCTTTCACTGATTAAAGCTCTTATGGGCTAAATTCACTAAATTAGACACCCCCCCCCCCCCCCTCTCTCTAGTGAATTTTGGCCAGTCCTAGTGTGCATGGGCTTGGCTGAATTTTACTCACTTATGGGCTCGGTCTAGATATTTCAATTAAGCTCAAAACCTTAATCCACCTCCGGTCCAATTTTAATGCTATTTTATGAACTTATTTATTAATAAAATATGCTCCTAAGATCTACATGCAACTTAATGAAAAGTATTTTTGCTAAGGGTCGGGGTCAATCCTAATTTTCTACGCAATAAATTCCTAAATAATTAGTCAAAATTTAGGTCTCAACAATTTCCTAATCTTGAATATATATATATATATATGCTTTTGATTTTAATTAGGAAATTCCATATTAAAAGAAAGCCCTGATCATTGTCTATATAAGCACACTTTTCTCACAATTAGAAGGAGTTGACACAACAGGGAGGAGACTACAATACACGGTTAGAAAAGAGAAAGAACAGCTCTCCCTTTGGCCTGCGGCTGTTCTTCACAAAATTGGCCTTGCCGTCGCAACTTGCCGCTGCTCAACCTCACGCTGCCACCACCATGCCGGAGCTGTATCATCTTAGACGCTGCTACCCGACACTTGGCCATGTCTCCAGCCCGCTGCAACAACCTCGGCGTCATCCCTACAATCCCAGAGTTGCAAATAAAACCGCCAATAGTTAGCCCGGCATGCAAATCCATCAAGCCTTGCAACGACGTCGGACCCTTCACCGTCGCTTCCTGCCACGCCAAATCAGCCTTCACGAGCACCTGCTTCCGTGCTATTTCCAACTCCGGCGAGTTTTCTCGCAGGTTCTCGACGAGTTGTTGTCGCCCAATCCTCACCTAAACACGACTTTTTTTTCAATCATTTAAGTGCCAAATAAATTTTCAATCAATCATTTGAGTATCATAATTTTTTAAAAACGTTTAACACAAGTGTTATGCCACATCGGATTTCCGGCACTTGGGTGAACGTTTTTAAAAAATTTTGACACTTAAGTGATTGATTGAAAGTTATAGCACTTGAGTGAATGTTTTTTTTAGAAATTATAACACTCTAATTGTCGAAAAAAAAGTTATGTCACTCAAGTGAACGCTGTACGAAAGTTATGATACTCATGATATCCTTATCCCATTGCATGTTATTTAGTGATCATGTTTAGAAATCATGCCCGGGTCATGCATTGCATCATTAGGTCATCATTCCTTAATAACTGTCACTTAAGTCGTGTATAGGTGTCCTAGAACTTAGTATTTATTTCTATAAGAAAAGAAAATACAAATCTCTCACGTAGTTTATATAACAGGATTAGTCCATAATTGATCGTATTTCATATAATTAGAGTTGCATATAGGTTGCATTTATTTAATTAACATAGCATACATGTTATTTAGATTTCTAGTTCATCAATGCATGTTTATTTATAACTCATATAGTCATAACATTTGAATTAAATCATATTCATGTTAAACAAGGAAAAAATCAAAGAGAATTAATTAGCCTTGCATACTTGCATTTAGAAATCACGTCTAGGTCATGCGTACATTGTTTGGCCTTTAATTAGCATTTTGCAAAATACTTGAACGTATTGGACATAATGGAGCCTTTAGCTTGCTTAGTGCATCAAGGTTCTTCAAATCCTTTCACAATTAGTCTACTACTTTGATTATTGAGCGTTATATTCTTATTTGTGCACCCGTATGATCACTTAGCGCTCGTTGTGACTAACATTAAAATCGACCAAGACTGCTTGTAAAACATTTTCAAAATAAAGAGAAAATGTACCAAAATGGCGTTTGATATATCTAGCATAATTAAGCCCCCAAATCCATGAAATCTCTCATTCGCGGGACATTTTAATTCAGCTTCTAATCGACCCGTAATAGATTGGTAAAGACTCTTAGATGAATTAACTTGCATGTTTAATTGATTAAATTAAACCCCAAAGTTGCGATTAGTATAAGCTTTCGCACTAAGTGTCTACTTGGTGTTCCATTAGTTTTCTCTCGATTGTTCACCTCTGGAAAGGTCGCAACAAACGTAAGGGTGGCTTATCCCTACCCAAAATACTTGCACAAGGTGTATCGAGAGTTGATGGGGAGCATGTTGAGAGTGAACGTGAATGCAGGGTTGTGGTTGATGAAGGGAGTGATCGATGGAATGTTGAAGAAGAAGAGAGGAGCAATCATGGATATTGGGTCCGATTCCACCGTGTATATCTCTTCGTATCCTCTCCGGACCCTGTATGCATCGACCAAACCGTACGTTTTGATTGTCACCAGTTTTGTGTTTTCCTTTTTTGGTAATTTGTTCACATATATTGCAAAAGTCTTCTCTTTCTTGCTATTTTCTTTTTGGATCGCAGCTATATCAAGATTGATATACAAATTTGGTCTGCTGAACAGTGTGATAGACTATAAGTAGTCATAAGAAGTTAATAGATAGTTTAATCACAATCACAAAGTACCTAGGCTTACTTGTCATGCTTCATTCGAGCCAGACTATGATTAACATTGAAAAAATTAAAAATTTAAGAGGTACATTGCACATTGAGTCAAAGTTCAGGCACCGTACATGTCATTTTCCACCCCCGCAGGGCGAAGCAACTGCACACAATTGACAGGTGGGCCTGGACAACAAGTAAACCGGGCCCGGTCCGAGCCCGCTGACCATCGCCCCGAATCCGACGAGCATATATCCGACCCGAAAGAGGAGCATCCGGGCCGAGGAGCTCTTATCCATTTCGGACCCATCTCCTTCTTCTTCTTCTTCCAAAATTGACCACTCGCTCTGTCACTCATACTGCTTACGGCGCAGAGAAAAACCAAAGCGAATGGCGTCGCCGTTCTCCCACGCGCCTCCCGTTCGCTCCGTCCTCCGGCCCAAGCCGAGCCCTCCCCGGTCCCTCCTAGCTCTCCGAGGTACGCCCCGCTCCAATCCTCCTCCTCTTCGCGTGGCTCGCCCGCTCGACCGCCGGGGACGCGTCGCGGCGCGGGGCAACGGCCTCCCGAGGAACCGGCGCCGATCGTGCGCGCCGGCTTCCGGAGACGGCTCCGTGCTTCGGAGTGACGGGGTTTGATTTTGCAGATTCGTGTCGTGGACGGTCGGACGGCTCCGGATGTTCGCTGCGCTCGGCCGCGAGCTACGTGAGCATCCGCGGCGGCGCCGGCGCGGCGAAGCTCCGTTGCGAGAGGCGCGTTAACCCCGGACGATTGTTGCCAAAGAGGCGAGTCCTTCCTTTTTTTTTTTTTTAACTGGATTACGTCGTTGTGGTTGCGGTTATTGGATGCTGGTTTGTATGGAGCGATGTGTGCGTTGCATTGCTTCAGTGTTTGAGAGACTGCTGTACTTGGAAGTCTGCTTGAAGTGTGTGTGATGGAGCCTAGTGACGTTCTAACTCACCTTACTTACGAAATCCGATGTCAAGTAGCTGGACTAGAGATCGTAATCTTGACTGGAGACGGTGTTCACCGTTCAATTTTCTCAACTTTGAGTTTGACGCGATTCGATTGTCACAAAGAGGTTTTGATGTAAGCTCCCAGCATGAGCTCGAATTAGACCTTTCAAGGTAAAACCAAAACTAGTAGTTAAATCAGTTTCGCAGTTCCCATTACAAAAAATATAGCTACTTAATTAGGCTCTTGAGGTACTTGGTTGAATTGTTAGCAAGCCCAAGCTTTTATTTATTCGACGCTTGAGTCGGGTTGAGTTGATGTAGCTAGCTGAGTCTAGATTTACTTAATTGAACTAGCTGGATTTGATTAGAGCCCTGAGTAACTTTGCCTACAATCTTCTGAAGTTGCTTTGGGTGAGCTACTGTTCTTCTGCTTGTATTCCGTAGAGTGGTGTTAAATTTCAGATTACTTCGTTCCATTTCAGAGCAGGAGTTGTGACATGTGCTACTACCGAAGAAATAGAAGCTGAGAAATCTATGATTGAAAAAGATGTCGTAAGTGGCTCTTGCATAACTATTTTGGACTTTGAGCGTTTTGAAAATTAGAAAGAATGGGCATACTGTTCTGCATCTGCTTAGTGACGCTACATAGAGGGTTTTTGTTTACTTTGTCGTTTTTCTCTCAGAAACAAAGAATGGAAAAGACTATTGAAACGGTTCGATCAAAATTTAATTCCGTCAGAACAGGAAGGGCGAACCCAGCTATGCTGGACAAAGTTGAGGTATCATCTCTGTGCTTATTCCTTCGGTACCAATGTGTTTCTAAAACAGCATATTGTACCCAAATGAGCCTTTTCTTTCTGACTCCAAAACAAGCCATCTGGTCAGTAGAATTTTCCATCTTTTCTGCTATTATGATGGCCCTTCTCTCTCTGTATACTTAATGTTGATACCTGATGATCTAACTCCATCTAAGAGGCTACCTGATCTGGTTCTAAGTGTCTCACATATGAACTTTAATGCCATTATGCCTATCTCCCTTCTCTCTATTTTTTTTTAAAGAATCGTAGATGCCTTAGGAGGCAAGTATCCTGTCATCTGAAACCATACCAAATTTGTGGCTGAAGTCAGAAGCTGATGAACATGTGTTTCTAACTAGAATTTTTTTTGCAGAATTTCAGTTTTTGGTAGCGTTTTGCATATTTGTAAAGTCAGAGCATAGGCTTTAATTGCCGATATTAGATAATTTCTCGGATTAGCATCCTTATTGGGTCTGCTGCTTCCGTTCCTTCTTGCGTCCTTTAGATTGTTTTAACTTAAGAAGATTGATGCCTTTCCTGTTATTCCTTCTTGGGCATTAAAATCACATACTGACTTTTCCATGAGATTTTTCTCTGGTGTGGCTATTCCTTCTTTATATTCGTGTGATTGTTATATTCCTCGTATGTGGAGAACAACTTCTGGGGAAGATGACAAGATGAATAGAGTAAATGCTAATTTCTTGATTGCCCCTGGATACAGGCCCTAAACTATGCTCAATATTGGCACATCTCTGAAGTCCTTATGTTGGCTTAACAATCGTAGTTCTTAGGAGCACTGTACTGCTATCTACAGTAATAGTAACATGACATTAATTTAGGTGGAGTACTATGGGAGTCCAGTCAGCTTGAAGAGCATTGCTCAAATCAGTACACCTGAAGCAAGTTCTCTCTTAATTCAGCCATATGATAAATCCAGGTATGTTAGACACATTGTGGAATTTTGATATCCTCATGCCGTATATTTCTGTTCCTTCTATCAGAAAGCTCGGAGCTGAAATGTCATGTTAAATCCTTGAAGTAGTTTGTTTGATGCGGATCTGGGAATCCTAGGAACTCTACAATTTTTTGTTAGATGTTTCAGTCTTCATTTTCTACTGATTGGAGAATTTATAGTTGTGGTTGCTGTTGAATGGTGGGGAAAAAGTTCTTGTTAGAGAATGCATTCTGATTTAAGAGATGTCTTGTTGTTTTGCCCCATTACTCAAATAACGGCATGCATTTTGAATTATAAAAATTCCAGCTTAAAGGCGATAGAGAAAGCCATTGTCAGCTCTGATCTTGGTATGACGCCAAATAATGATGGAGAAGTAATCCGCCTATCTCTCCCACAACTCACAACTGAAAGAAGGAAGGTACTCCTTTATGACGTTATACATTCAATGCTACTTCTAACAGCTTGCTAATACATTAATATTGTTACTGGTTCTTACACTACTGTTGCAGGAGTTGTCAAAAGTTGTGGCAAGGCAGGCTGAAGAAGGGAAGGTAGATCTACATATTGTATCGATGGCTTATGACAACTAGGAATACATCACTGACTTCTTGAGTAAATAAATCATTTACATGGTATTGTGATCTTCATCATCTTGTTAAGAAGGCATACAAAGCCACTGACCCTGCACAAGAAGTCCAAAGATTAAATCTGGCACAGGCTTTAGCTCCTGCTATGTTACAGGAAGTCTTGATAGTGGAACCGATCTTGGTGACTACTAGTCTTTAACGTCACTGACTTAATTGCATAGCTTGTAATATGACTGTCATAATCAAGTGTGTCAGCAAATTGTATAATTAGCTGATGCGTGCAGAATTGTGCATGTTCATTTTATATGATGCATTGGAGATCAATATGTGTGATTGCTGCTTCACACTATCTTCTACCACCATTGTTTTCATCTCTGATCATTGATTTTCAGGTGGCATTGAGGAATATAAGAAGAGATGCCTTGAAAGCCTATGAAAAGCTAGAGAAGGTTCTGATTACTGGATTGTCGGCTCTTTCAATCCATTTGTCTGTCTCAATTCTTGTTTTCTGAACTTTATCTCTTCTATGTGTGGTTTCTTCCCTTGGTCTACTTGCATGTTCAGTTTCTCATCACATCCACTTTTGACAGGAGAAAAAACTTTCAGAAGACAATGTGAAAGATTTGTCTGGTGATTTGCAGGTAATTTCCTGCGTTATCAAATGTTGAGATATTTTCTTCCAAACTTGTTATAGCGGGCATAAAGAAATCTTCTGGCCACTTATTTTACCTTTGATTCTCATATACTTTATTGATGAATGGCATCGACATTTAAACTTTATAGTGATCTTTGAGATAAGGAGATGTCGTGTTTGGGATGGCTCATTGAATTTTTCCAATGAGTCAGGAAAAAATTTCTGATTGCTTAGTGGTTATGCTTTGTCCAATTATGCTGAAGCTGGGGAGCTTGAAATGCTTTCTCTACTCTTGACTCTCAAATCTTCTTCCAGAGTAAAGCATTTGATTTTTTTTTCGTCGTTTTCTTTTTACGATGCTCCAGAGTCTTATGTACATACAATTTGCACAATAAATCAATAAGTTAAAAGAGAAAAACAAGAGTGACGGATGAAGAGGGGTTTGCATGATAATCCTCCTGCACCAAAATTCTGTAATGCACCAATAACTATGCCTATCAAACGATTTAGTCTACTTGGCTTTTTTCTTCTGCGGATGCATATTTTCCAATTCCATACAACTCATTAGATGTCCCTATCTTTCTTATATAAAACCTTTATACTTTGTTCAGAAGCTGACGGATGACTATATGAAGAAAATTGACACCATCTACAAGCAGAAAGAGAAGGTAAATGATATGTTATTGACAGTGGTTGTTTCATCCATTATTAGCGAACGTGAAATTGCTTGTGATAGCATCAAGCTCAACACGAACTAATGGTTCATGCTGTTGAATACTTAGAAACATCTCAGGCATGGACATCATGCATGTTGTGGTTTGTCACATACAAAAAGTTGTTTTTTGTGTCATTTGATGTGGAAATACCTCTGGCTTCAAGACACCTATGGTCTGCATTACAAGCTGGGAAATGCTCAATCACTTAAAATTTCAAGGGCTATACTTGAATTATGAACTTCTGTTTTGATTTTGCTAGGATCAATTGAAGATATATGGAAATAATCCTTTTTTGATTGTATCTAATTCTACCACTTAAGTTGCTTCCCACACACAACCCCACCCCCACCCCCCCCCAAGCCTTTTCACCATTTAGGACGAACCTTATGTGGGGTTGGGGTTATTTCAAGTTGCTGAAACTTCTCGTTTGCTGGAGTATTATCAATGGCACCCTCTTGTGATCCTCCAACACTTTGGCCTCATGAACTCAGATCCAAAAATTGAGCATTAGAAGAAATATACCTTTCATTCCTATACCCTATATATCAGCTGCTTCGTAACAAAAAGGAAAGCAATGAAAAAGAAAAGAATATCACCTCCTTATGATCATTGCCCACCCACCCCCCCAAGCCTTTTCACCATTTAGGACGAACCTTATGTGGGGTTGGGGTTATTTCAAGTTGCTGAAACTTCTCCTTTGCTGGAGTATTATCAATGGCACCCTCTTGTGATCCTCCAACACTTTGGCCTCATGAACTCAGATCCAAAAATTGAGCATTAGAAGAAATATACCTTTCATTCCTATACCCTATATATCAGCTGCTTCGTAACAAAAAGGAAAGCAATGAAAAAGAAAAGAATATCACCTCCTTATGATCATTGTGCAGATTCTAGGTAAACCAAATGTGGTAGTTTTTGTTCTAGCAAATGCAAATGACATATGAGAGAGAAGATACTTGTTTGTTGCTTCTCTCATAGGCATATAAGAATCTATAGTGGTAAGAGAGTAAACCTTGGACCCAGCCCCCACTTAGTGAGTTCAGTGAGGTGTACCTGAGCACCAGCTTAATTTACCTCTGCTTGTGCTAGAATTTGCTTTTCAAATTTTCGTCTATTTATACTTACATCATCGGTCCGACTCTCTTTTGGACTGGGTGTTTCTAGTCCATTCTCACATGTCTCTAACTCGTGGTTTCATCTTTCAGGAGTTGCTGACTGTTTAAGGAACAGGCATCCTGGGTAAAGTTCTGTCAAGATCCCTTCCGAGAGAGAGTACAGAGGTTATACTGTCAAGATCCCTTCCGAGAGAGAGTACAGAGGTTATAAATAGTTACCGGCAATCAGGGATGCATGGACTGCTGAATATGCTTATACATGCATCGCAATTCTTTTGGAGTGATAATGACAGTTTGGTCGAAATCGATAGTTTTATTCGTCGAAGATAATCTTTGGCCTACATAAGATCTTCAACCGGCAGTTCCTTTGCATAACTCTCAATATTAACCGCCTCCATGACATTGTGGGAATGTAATGAGTAGTAAATTATTAGGGATAGCGGAGAGGCGGATATGGGCAGGCTGAACACGTCCCTAACCTAGCGCTTGATCGCACTTGTTAGATGGAGTCCTAATCCATCTCTTTTGTGAGAACGTAAATGCTGGTTATTTTCATCTTTTGTATATCGGAGATTAAGATACATAAAAATTTTCATTTCTTGTAATCTTCTATATTCTATACATATATTCAAGTACTTACCACCTATATGGTTGGTTTTATCCTATTACTTCTTTTCTTATATATTGCTTATGGTCTTTATATAATCTATAATGTTTGCTTTTTTATTTAGTTTCATATTATTTCTAACCATTGCATATTTACGACTTATTAACTTTATAGATTATCTTGAATTTATAATATACGACTTATTAAATAATCCTTATTTTTATCTTTGACTTCATTTTTGTCTCTTTTTATAATCTCCAGAACCTAGGGCATCCTTATAGTATCAGAGCAAAGGGGGAGATACAGTTAACTCTTTTTAAGATCATCCGTCACTTGAGACGATTTCCTTCGTGGAGATCTTTTTATTGTTCTTTGCATGTCTATTGTCGTCCTGGCAGTAAAACCTGGAGAGATAGTGAGACCGTTGGTCAGCATCAGTTAAAGAACTATAGAAAGAAGAAAGTAGTCTTGTGCAATGAACTTATTAAGAAGATCCATGTCTTCTTCAAAGTCTATATCACAAATGTCCTCATATCAAGGACCCATAAATAGAAAAGAAATCAATAGAAAAGATTTTAATAAATCCATAGAAAATTGGATTATTCCAAAGGTTAAATTCAACCAAATATATGAACACTCAAATTTTAAATTTTTCGGAAAAATGATTACATAATAGTTACTGAAGAAAGAGATGTTCCTCTTTTTAACTCTTTTGCTTCAATACAACTATTAAATAAGGATTCTATAAAAAAACATGCCCAGAAAAGGAATTATATTCATATAGCTTTAGTCCAAATAGGAGCCAAACTTCTTATGAAAGAAGGACTAGACACTTCCTTACTCCTTGTATTGAGAGATGCAAGACTTTTGAAATATGATGAATCTATACTTGGGGTAGTATAAACTAGTCTCTGCAGTGGTCCAATACATTTTGATAGTCATCTTGGATTTACAGTCTCTCTTAAAGACAAAAATATTTTAAAATTTCTTACTCTTTAAATAAAAACCCATAATTACTCAATATCCGAAGGGTCAATTCCCCTTGCACTCGTTTATAGAGTTTATTACAAAGCTTTTAACCTCAGTTCTAAAAGAGAAACACTTCTTTATAAACTGACATTTCAAGTGTCAATATTACCATCCCAAAAACAATTCCATGGAATTAGATAGCCCTTCATGAACAATGGGAATTAGAGAACCAAATTCCCCAACAAGTTGTTCATAATTATGATCCTACAGATATCATCCAAGATTCAGAAGGAAGAGTGACGATACAATTCTCCAAAAGATCTTGTGATATTAGGTTAATTCCTTCATGGCATTTTATTTCTTCCAGAAGATCAATAGATTTAAGTCCAAATCTACCTCCTACAATCCATTCTAGAAATAGGACAACCAAGTGCTCATCCTCTCACCAATATCAGCGGCATAGACAACGGATCATGTATATCTAGGCCTATTTATCAGCAAGAACATAACTCAGAATATCCTAAATCCACTCCTTCTGAGATGGCGGATCTTGAGATCAATGTCTTAGAGAAAGAGTTCGTGCCAAATAGGATCTTTCTAAATCAAGAATTTAATTCTTTTAAAAATTCTCAAATCAGAAATTGGTTCTTTGCAAACTTCAAAGACCAAGCAAAACAGATCAAAGAAGAATATTATGGATACATGCACGAGCATGAAATTCAAATGTTCTTTTATGACTGGTTTGAAGAATGTTTTCTACAAAACAAAGAAATATGTGTTTTAGATCAATTTTACAAGTGGAAATTAGACAATGGCTAAACAACAAAATCTAATCATCCTCTACTTAGAAAAATAAAACTACAACACCGAGAAGCTGAAATAATAGCTTTCCCTTTCAAAACATTTTCAGAAATGTAGGGTATAGGTATAAAAAAGATAGTTGAACAAAATAATTATTTTAATCAACATCTTCACACTATACGAAAACAATTAGATATGATAGAATCTTCCGTCCAATTCAATTTGACCCAGATCACTACTAAACCCAATCTATTAAAAACACATCCTTTTAGAAATTTTGAACTCCCTAAAAATTCTAGCACAGATTTTGCTAGAGCCTTAGAAGAAAGAAAAAGAGCTATTAAGGGAAAATCAATTTCTAAAGAAGAATCTAAATCTTCCATAATTTTATAAACCCCAAAATAGAAAATACCAATCTTGTAATAAAAGATACTCCATACCAACTCAATGTTCTTGATGAATCTGATAATGAATCTATCCCTGAAATTAATAGAATCACGTGGAAGGACCCATAAAAATTATATTTCTCCATAGCCACACTGCCTTCTATAGCTTTAGAAGAATCTTCTAAAACCCAAAATAAATATTCTTCATGATTGATTTATGAATGGAACATAGATAGGGTCTCCGAACATAATCTTTTGAACATACTTAACTAAATGGTCATACTTGCCAATACCTATAAAACCATCCCTGACACCACAAACCATTCTATTGCTTATCTTATAATAGTAGGATTTATTGGCCAGTTAAAAGGATGGTATGATAATTATCTTACTGATGAGCAAAGAATACAGATTCTTAATGCTTATAAGTTAGATGATTATGGTCAAAGGATTGTTGATGAGAAAGATCAACCCATTCAAGATATTGTCAATACCTTGATATATTCCATATCCTAGCATTTCATAGGGGACTCATCTCATATTCGTGATAAGAATTTAGACCTCTTATCTAATATGAAATGCAAGACTCTAAGAGAATTTAGAGAATATAAAGAAATCTTCTTATAAAAAGTTTTCCTTAGGCCAAACTGTAATAAGCCTTTCTGGAAAGAAAAGTTTTTTTACTGATCTACCAAAATTGATAGAAAAACAAGTTCGCAATAAGATAAGAGAAGAATATGGGGAACAAATTCCATATAACCTCATTTATTATTTTGATTACCAACAAGCCTGGTGGAATACCTTTTTAAGGAAGAATGCCAATAATACCCATACATGGCTATTCTTCTTTGAAGAATTTGATACTCGCCTAATGCCATTCTAGTTCATCAGATGATGGGAATATTTTGGATCTACTAGTGAAATACTACACCCATTAGTGCAACCCAGCTACAAGATATTTTCTACCCAATTTGCACCTCTTTCATATGAAGCCAAATTCCCACACCTAATGCTCTTTTTCATATACTTTGGAGTATCATGAGTAATGACTTAGAGTTTTGATTACAGAAAAACCATAGCAACGGATACCCTTACCTTAATCAGAAAATTCAAGGTTAAGTGGTGGGATGGTATTAAATTTTTTGATAGGGTTGATGAGCAAACAATAACATAATGGTTGAGTAAAAGAAACCCGAGCCATATCAGTCCAGATAATGTCACTCCTTTTTTCCATGATAAAGGATTTGTTTTATTAAGACTGGCATCTGCACAATCCCAGCAACAACTGATGGGATTTTTAAAACAAGTCCTTATTGAATTGGAAGAATCAAGCTCCTCCCACTCACATCATAGTGAGAACACAAATGAAGATGACTGTTACGGCATATACCTTAGTGATGATGATGATGACTAAAAGACAAAGGTGGAACGACTATTGACAAAGTTTTCACATTTCCATAATGCGAAAAGAGACTAATGGCAAAAGAAAGACAACCAATGTCTTAGTCTTTGTTACTTTCATACTATGCTTTCATATTGCATGATGTCTTTTATACTTTTCGCTGTAACACTGTGCACCTCTTCCTGTTCATACTAGTGATCTTTCCTGAAAGACACAGTAACATCACGTGAACTTAGAATAATGCAATAGTTTTTAAAGATTCTCTCATCCTATAAAAGCCATCCTTGTCTAACCAAGGAAGTAGGTTTTTCCGAAACGGAATCCAAAACCCTCTCTTTCAGAACTTCCATCGGCTTTCACACTAATACCAACCTTCTCTCTTCACTTAGGTCTGAAACAAAACCCCTGGTTCTGATCATACCTGGTAAGCTGTTCTTACGACCAACCTACCTTTTCATATCCATATCACTGTCTGATCTAAGATTACAAACCAATTTCATGGTTTGGAAATCCATAGATCTTTTAAATATTCCACTTGCATAGCATGAGATTTATTGAACGGAGAGCGGCCTCGGCCGCCCCTGAAAATAATCTCACTCTATTTACATTTCTGTAATTTTCATTTCTTGTAACATTTTATTTACATTCCTGTAATTTTCATATCTTGTAACCTTTTATTGACATTCCTGTAATTTTCATTTCTTGTAATCTTTAATATTCTATACATATATTTAAGTACTTACCACCTATATGGTTGGTTTTATCATATTACTTCTTGTCTTATATACTGCTTATGGTCTTTATATAATCAATAATGCTTGCTCTGTTATTTAGTTTCATATTATTTCTAACCATTGCATACTTACTTGTTGACATAGAACATATTCTTGACTTTATAGATTATCTTGAGTTTCTAAGATACGACTTATTAAATAATCTTCATTTTTATCCTTGACTTCATTTCTGTCTCTTTATCCCCAACCTGGGGCATCCTTATGGTATCAGAGCCTTGGTTGGGATTTCTATAAACGAGTGCTTTTTATTTAGAATATAAATATCTATATTAATTCAAGAACAAATGAAATAGCTATTTTTTTGGGGGCGTAGTAACATATCTCATACACGAGAAGCAAACGATTACATTAAAAGGAAAATATTAGCACTAAAGAAACATTTCAATTGCTTGACAAAATTTTTGGCCGTGACATTTCTGGAGAATGTTACCTAATCTTGTATTCAATATGGTGAGTTTGAAAGCGTGATCATAGTGAGGGAAACGACCTCACCAGCAGACTGGAGAAATTGTTGGCCTCTGGTATCTAAAACTGCAAGCAACTGATATTTGGCTGCTGGTGGGCTCCTACGTTGATTCCCGAATTGTGAGCCATTTGTTCGAATGGTGCCGCGGTCGAAGCGAGGTGGAGGTGGAGGTGCCAAT